GGGACAGGACATCATAACGTGATGCGTGATTTGCTATTTCACAAGCAATTAGATTTCCGTGATAAGTGAACGTTCTTTGAACTAGAAGGATATCATTCATTCAAAGTAAATAGTAAATAGAGCATCAAATCGTGGCAGACGTGACACGATTTTCTGGTCTTTTCCGTCCTTTTCTTGACCTCTGATGTCTTTGATCTTCGTGGATCGCATGGTACTATAGGTTCAAATAATTGTGATACAAATTATAGGAAAATTATAGGAATAAGTCAATTGAAAATAGCTAAACGTTGCACAAGGACTATGAGCTTCAGTATTATTTTTGTCAATTTTGTCGACCGATCATTTTTGGCAGTGCATCGATCAGACCAAGAGAATATGACACACCATATCCGAATCCGGCTATCGTATAAAAGGTCTGAACGAATTTTGTCCAAAAGGGCTGAAACGATTACACACGTTAGAGTTTGGTGTAATTTTATACTGCTCGAGAAGACAGTTGTGTAAGCAACGAGAGACTACACAAGGGAAACGTTTGGGTGCCACTTAATGAAGGTCGTCACAGAGAGATCTAGAGACCTAAGCCACGTTATATCCTTTACAGACATAAAAACGTTGCCGCACAAAAAAGGATTTGCAGATGTAACTGCTTTGACGCAAATGTTGCCTGTATATTAGAGCATGGCAAAGGTGGCGAAGACGTCTTCTCAATTCGTATACAAGATCTCTGCCAACTTAGCCTGTGAACAGGCTTCCGATTGTGCTATAGGAACGGCTTGTCGTTGTACACCTTTGACTAACAATAGACGAATCGAAACCGACCAATGACTGATGACAAATTTTACACGAGTCTTTCAGCCAATATCATCATGGCTAAACTGACCAATCGCGATCAACGGACCGGACTTATAACATCATCGACTGACAAACACTATTCACTTGACTCCGAAGATGACTTCCGCTAAGGTTGTCGAAACGTCAGTCACCAACAACAGTTCTTTTCAGAGCTACCCTCACCCGGACGATCACACTATACGAACAACTGTTAGATCTGGATGTCATGCATTTCCTTTTATGTATGCGAATCACATACCTTGGTATTCGATAAAAATTGTGTACCCAAGATCTGAATGTCATGAATTTCCTTTTGGTTATGTGAATTCCACACACATAGTCTCTTACTAATGAATAACTAGAGGTTTTTAATTGTGTTCCAGGTTCCTTCTGATAAATCCGACAGTAAAAGTAAGTAATGTAAGACTTTATTTATCCGCCGGGTCAGCCTTCGTGATAATGCTAGTAACATATAACGAATATTAAACTTGGTCGAGGTCCGTAAAGAGATCCACCCCTAAATATTTATTTTGTTTAGGGTGTTTATTTATGGTGCGTTTCTCCTTTGCGCAAGGGAGGCTCGGTGGCCTCATGGTTAGTGCGCTCGTCTCCGGATCGAGCGGTCCGGGTTCGAGCCCTGGCCGGGGACATTGTGTTGTGTTCTTGGGCAAGACACTTTACTCTCACAGTGCCTCTCTCCACCCAGTTGTATAAATGGGTACCGGCGAACTTAATGCCGGGGGTAACCCTGCGATAGACTAGCATCCCATCCAGGGGGGAGTAGAAATACTCCTAGTCGCTTAATGCTACAGAAACCGGGATAAGCTCCGGCTTGATGGACCACTTGGCTCGTATGCAGACTTTACCTTTACCTTCTCCTTTGCGCGGGACCTCCTATTTTTTTCTCTTTGGACTCATTGAAGAACGTCGTCTGATTATTGACTTCACTAGGAGCCTAGGAAGCTTAGGCCCGGTCGTCCACATTACACCGGAGGAATTTAAAAACGCAACAATCACCGGTCGTTTTATATTTCTGTTTGAGGAAATCTCGGCCAGGGAAATCACGTGGTTCTCCTGATCCTATCGTGTTCGGAAAGGTCCATTTTAAAATGTTTCCGTCCACACGAAAACTGAAAGCCGGCGTTTTCAAATTCCTTCGGTTTGAAGAGCGTTCGAAAAGCTCCGTTTTCGTGACCGATTACCCTGGACCGTAGGCCTAACCGTTGAAATAAAGCTGCATGCGTTTTTAATTCCTCCGGCGTAGTGTTTTCGAAAATTTAAGGTTGCTCTGAACCCTATGTACAGAATTTTTTTAAACTTTGCCAAAAGTTGCGTCTTATCATGCTTATCAAAAGTTGATAATACAAAAAAATTTCACCGTGCCGTTTTAGAATTATAAGTCCCTAAAGCTGTAATTAAGGGTGTTTTTTAGAGGTCATACTGTCGCTATGGTAACCTATTGCGTCACGAAATAACAACGTGTTCACCAATGATTGGGCAGTTTTTTTATACCGTGATTGTAGCATCAAGTGATAAAGAGTGGTTACAACGACCCATCCAAATCTAAGTGCTGGAAACTGTTTTGAGCCACCTTAAATATACCTACAGAGCCCACATCTCATCAATCCCCCCAAATATATCTACACAGCCTACATCTCATTGATCCCCCAAATATACCTACATTAATCCCCCACATATACCTACACAACTTTCATCTGATTAATCCCCTAAATATACCTACACAACTTTCATCTGATTAATCCCCTAAATATACCTACACAGCCTACATCTCATCAATCTCCCCAAATATATCTACACAGCCTACATCTCATTGATCCCCAAGTATACCCACAGAGCCTACATCTCATTAATCCCCCACATATACCTACACAGCCTTCATCTCATTTATCCCCCACATATACCTACACATCCTACATCTCAATTATCTTCCACATATACCTACACAGCATACATCTCATTAATCCATATACCTACACAGCATAAATCTCATTAATCCCCCACAAATACTTGCACAGCAATATATCTCATTAATCCCTGACATATACCTATACAACCTACATCTGATTAATCCCCTACATATACATACACAGCCTACATCTCATTAATTCCCCACATATACCTACACAGCTTTCATCGTATTAATTCCCAACATATACCTACACAGCAATACAGCTCATTAGTCTCCTACATATACCGGTACAATACGGTACCTACACAACCTACATCTCCTTTATCCCCCACGTATACCTACACATGCTACATGTCATTAATCTCTCACATATACCTACACAGCTTTCATGGTATTAATTCCCAACAAACACCTACACAGCCCACATCTCATGAATCTCTAACATTTACCTTCACAGTTTGCATTTCAGTCCAAGTTGTCTTGGAACAAGATAGCTTATTCAAATTATCCGTTCACTTGTAGCCTGGAAACAGGCTCCCAATTGTGTTAATGGGTTTAGTGCGAACTAGCCAAGTATGGTCTACAGCGAGCGGGGAGAGTCGAGAGCAGAATGATAACGAGGCAGAGCGCAATTCGTGGAATTCTTTTTTTCGCGCTTAACAGCTCGCTTCGCTCGCCGAATTTTTTCCCCGGCCCTCGCTGGGAGCCTGTTGCGCAGGCTAATTCACTTGCCGTGCGTTTAACCACGTTCGAATGGATACCGTAAGGAACGTTTTGTTGCGGAACGTTTGCTCATCCTATACATTCATTTATACACTAAGTCGTTTGAGACTAAACAAGTTGATAAAGCGCATAGCGGAGTTGCTGATGACTCGAGAAAACAAGAAATGGTAGGGGGAGCCCGTACACCCACCTCAACGTCGTTTCCAGCGGGTATTCCAAGATGGCGGACACGTCGGGGAATACCGCGGTATTCGCTGATGTGTCGGCCATCTTGTTGTTGTTCTCGCGCCGAGTGACATCTCAATACCCAAGAGGCACTGCGCTGCCAGCTGGCAATCCCTCTTTAGTATCCTTCCTATTTTCATACTTTCTTTCCTGATTGGTTTCCGTGATACCAGTTACTGCCGTGTAAGATTTTTCCTCATAAGATTTCACTTTTTTTTTCTTGGTCATAGTAGTTTAATTAGCTTCAGGGAGGTTGTCACCCAGCGCTCCGTGAGCGCAAGATATTTGCGTGCGATCCAGTTTACTCAGTGAAATCGTGCATATACAAAATCAAATATTATGTTTGAATCAGGTGAGGCAATCTATCTCACAAAACTGATAAGAGCCTGGCCAATGAAAATCAAAACTAGTTTTTAGTTTTACCGGGTCAGTTTGATAAAGAACGTGAGCTAAGTGAAACAAAAAAATATATCGTGTTTCCTTTTAACCGAAGATTGACGCAAATTTTTATTCAGAATATACATTCAAACTGTTTACCCAGCAGGAAACTCGGTTTAAACTCAAAGGCACTGTTTTTGCACGCATCGCTTACTCGTGAGATAAGATAAAGCACGCAGTTTCAATTTAATTTAATTTAAGATATATTGCCAATATAATCTACCCTTAGTAAACTTTGTCCTTTCATATTGTAAAAAAATAATTTTGTTCTATCTGTGCTGTCATAAATTCAGATTTAGTGCTTTCACATGTAAACATTTAACTTTCGTGTAAATTAAATGGAAATGGAGTTGTGTTTATTTTATTGAAGTTTATTATGGCGAGGTGTTTTTAAAACAACATCTTTTCCGTTCTCTATAAGTGGTTTGGAAATTTTGGCGCCGACAGATAAATACGAAAATTACACCTTGCCGAAACTAAATTTCATTATTTTCCAAACTTCTTTAATGACACTTAACCCAATTTATTAATTCTATTCGACAACCAGGTAGATCAATACTTCACATAGTATTTTATAGAGCATGTCAAACATAATGAGACAAACCAAGGTTGGAGTAAAAACATAATTATGCCAAGGTTAATAATAGCGATAATAATAATGGCCAACGAGTCTTTTAATTAACCAATGCGGACATCGGACAAAATACTAAAAAGTCGGTTTATAAATTTTGCGGATTGACTTCAATATTTTCGAAAAGTTTTACGTATTTTCAATTTACTTTTTGCCGATTAGCCAATCAGAACGCTCCTTACATGCCGCTGTGCATGATTTGATGGCAATTTCTTTCATCCGGGAACCTCAGTCTGGCCGGAGTTAAAGTTTGTGGAATTTCGTTCAAACTCTTGACGAATGTAATGGATCAAATATATTCCCTTATCTAATGTTTTCTTTGCCTGGCAGCTTGTAATTCGCACAAGAGGTTTTTGTGGCGAAGGTGTGGATTCGTCGATCAAGTTTACAAAACCCCTGGCGATGGTTATGTAGCAGCGGTTTGTTGATAATTTCGTGGCAATTAGTAGATTTTATACGTTCCGTCATGCATTCAGTAGATGGCTAGTAGTGTTGCCAAGCTGAAACCACTGTCATCAGTGATCGTTGAGCCCGATGAAGTCCTCGTACAAAATATGGAAGAGAATGAAGTGCTAGCAGGACTAGCTAGTAACAGTGATTCGGCAAGAAAAGCGGACATTTTGGACGAGCTCCGAGCAAACGCGCGGCGAAATGGTGGTCGCTTACAATTTGACGACCGACTTTCTCTATTTCGCGTTTTGCAGGAAGCGCTGGCCGACCTAAACTCAAACACACGACTGCGTTGTACGGAGTTTTTGTGTGAAATCATCCCAGAATTTGGAGAAGATTTAGATAGCTGTATGACTTTCGTTCTTCCTCAACTCGTGTCAAACATCGGAGACAACCAAGTCTCGGTGAAGAAATCTGCTATTCAGACGCTGCATGTGTACATGAAGCATTCTTCGCAAGTCAGCGCTGTTTTGAACGCTATCATCGATCACGGGCTTGAAAGTGACAATAGGAGAACAAGGACAGAAAGTTTAGTTGCTTTACCAATTCTCATAATGCCAAATCTGGCCCACGAAGATCTGTTTACGTTGACAAAAGCGCTCGTTGGTAGGTTGGAAAACTCATCGAGGCCCGAAACTTCACCTGCTGTTATCTCCCTCGAAAGGATAAAAAATGTCGTAGGATCCTCAATTTTCGATAGCTACCTTAATCGCTTATCCCCTGACCAGCAAAATGTATGCATACTGGCCCTTCAAAACCGTAGTTCCGACCCTGTGAAAGATCTTGAGGTTCTTGGAGGTCGCAAAGCTAAGAGCGCCGGTCACTTGAACACAAACGGGATCATCGCAGAAGTCGAACGACCAGAAAGGGGAACTGTACTGGACAGAGGACATACTATTGCGATGAGTAACACTGCTGATGATTTTCTTGACGCAAACTACGGACCACTGGAGTTTGGGTTTGTTCCTGTGTCAGTTATGTCAAAACTTCGAGATCAAAGCAATTGGAGGATGAGAGCACAGGGAATTGAAGAGTTGAAGACTCTAACGGGACAGCTGACCGATACAGAACCTCTTCACCCCAATCTAGGATCACTCTTTGAATTACTTCTTGATTTCCTAGATGATGTGAATTTTAAAATTGGTGTCACAAGCCTTCAAATTATTGGATTACTGGTGGCTAAGCTTGGCGTGAGTGTACGTCCTGTACTCAAGCGTCTTCTGTTAGCACTTTCAAACAAATTAGGAGACAATAAAATTGTGATCAGGCAAGAAAACATGAAAGTGCTAATGCAGCTTATGCAAATCCTCTCTCCTAATGCTGTACTATCTGTGCTGACTACAAACTTACAGCATCGAAACTCCAGAGTACGTGAAGAAACTGTCAATGTTTTCATTGCTGCTTTACTAACATTTCCTAGCTCAGACTTCAATCTACCAGACTTGACCAACGCAATTGCTCCAGCTTTGGTAGACAGCAAGAGAAGAGTGCGACAAGCAGCGTTGGAAGCCTTTGCCGTGATAGCACAAGCAATGGGACCTGGACGCATTCAACCAGTAGTGTCAGCGGTCGATGCCATTGAGCTTACTTTGGGTGGTGATGGTGTTATGGCTGCTATCACTGCCAGGTTAGCACGCCGGCAGCTCCCTCGCCTCAACAGAGATGGCTTGGTTGAGTATGCTGTCCCAATGCCCTCATCTGGAACTATTAGGGGTCAGAACAACACACCGCGTGGTGCTGATATTGATTGGATATTGGCTGGTACTACAGGGACTGGCTCTGCTGATCCCTCGGGTACTGCTCGATCTACACCAGGACTTAACGACTCTTTGAATATGTCAGGGCCTAGTCCTCGAAGATTCTTTAGTGCAGGAAAGAATAGACTACCGTGGGAAGGAGAGCAGGGTCGAGATGGCAACCAGGTAAGATTTGCTAATTATTTTACTCGTGGTAGGCATAGTGACTGATGTCTGATTTATGTTTGAACATGATTCCGGAAACTAATTGATGAAGGAGCAATAGAAACTATAAGTAATCAACATGTACATTGTAATTTTAATGCCATTAAAAATCAAGATGCAGGCTGTAACCTCGTTAGCTAGTTTGCGTGAGTAGGTGTTCTTTAAGTGGTGTTTAGTTAATCATTGCCTCTTGAAGCATCTAACTCATGGAAATTACCATTGTGCTCAAAAGTGGACTTAGAACCCCGTAGGTGTTGCTGAAATAAGAAATGTGCTCAGAATTTTAATTTCATGAATATCAGGCTTCGTAATGTAAACTGTAGGTAAGACACTTGGAGAGTGATGGGCAGCCATTAGACATAATAATTATAAATTTATGAATGACCAATGATTTTGTAGAATCAACAATTTGCTTTAAAAACTGTAGCAGCTTTTCATGTAACAGTGCTGTATTAGAGACAACACTGCATAGGTGAGCCCTGGTTTCTAAAAGTAATGTGTTTTTACAAAAATTGAGTGTTTTGATGCTTGAGTAGAAATATTGAAATTTATTTATGAAGTTTGTATGAAAAATAAACTTCAAAAAAATATTTCTGGAGGGACAATCTTGTTAAATCAAGCCTAGTTACACTAAGTGTTCCTTGACAGGGCGTGAATTATTCAGAATGATATATCATAAAATCAGCCAAAACATTTAAGAATTCAGCGACTGTTGGCAGTTGTTAGGATGTTCATCAGTGAAATCTGTTGCCAAAAGATTGCATTATGTTGTGTGTATTAAATTTATTAAAGTGGGATGTTTTGTTTCCTCATAAAAAACTTTTGAAATTGCCTACTGGGAAGTAATAATTTATTGTATTTTTTACAACAAGAACTATAAATAACTTTGTTGTTGTTATATTTAGTGCTGAGGCCTGAGGCATAAATGTAATGGTCAATTGTCTTGTTCAAAAACTCTCTAGCAAGCCAATTTCATATGCAGAATGAAGTATAGTTTTTCCCAATATTTCTGACACTTGAAATGCACGTTATATATACATACATATCTGTTAGAATTTCAACCAAAATATTTTTCACTCGTGAATTGCCTTGAAGATTTGAGTTAAAAATTAATGATGTGGTCTTTTGAGAAATATTGTCTCTAAATTGTGGCTTATTCTCATTGAACTTTTGCAAAGATAAAAATCATTTGTTCCCATTACAGTATAGTAGTTCTAACGTCTTTGATGTTGCAAAGTTTTATTCCTTGGTTTCATTTGTTTGTATGCATGTTTGAAAAATGTTAAAGCTGCTATGAGAAATTGGTTATTAAAAATATTGCGATATGGAAATAAAGGTGAGCTGATACTTGTGAAAGGGCACTTTGTGTTTTTGCCCTCATAATCTGCTGCACATTATCACTTTTTGAGAACTCATGCCTTTTATTTTTTTTGTGCTGACTTTTTTGGCTGAATTTTTTTTGTCTCTTTTAAAATTTTAATATTCTGTACTTCACATTTTTTTGGTCCTTTGAAGTACAGGTAATGGTGGATGATGTTGCAAACTGAGAACTGAGAAGATACTGTAATTAACATATTTAATAGTAAAAGAGAATGAAATGAAGAGTGCTCTTTGGTCTGTTAAGGAAACTGGATTTTTTTATATTATTTTATATTACTGGGAGGATCAACCTGTCCATTGAATTTTGGATAGAAAAGCAAAAAGAGTTTTGGAATAAACTATGATCACTATTGGAAATAAAGTGGTTAATTTTTACATTTTTTTACTCTTACAGCCAGCTCCTGACAATGTTGAACCAATACGTCCACCAATGAAACTGAATTCATGGGCTCCCACTGAGATAGTGAATGACCGAGCTGTGAAATCTACACCTCAGCCACGAACAACATCATTGTCAACTCCACAGAAGTCAAAGCTAACCACCTCTTCTTATGCTGAAAAGTACCATGCAATGAGCATGCAAAGGGCAAACCAAGTATCTGATCGACATGCCTCCAAGGCCACAGAAAACACATCGGGAAGCTCCTATGCTGAAATGCACAGGGCAAAGGTCAAGAAAGACAAATCTAAGATTGGCCCTGTGGTGAATCTGAATCAGACAGCTCCACCTGGTTCTGGAAGTGCTGTGAATAGTTATGCTCTTTTATACAAGCGTGGCACGATTACAACAAAAGCAAAAGCCAGTAGCAGCGCAGAGCCAGCAGTTGGTGAACAGACACCTAAGGAAACAGTGCAGAGAAATGCTCAATCTGTCACTCCTACTCCTTTCTCTCTGCAGAGTTCTTTTTCATCGGGTGAAGAAGAATTGTTTCCTACCTCACAGAGAAAAGCTTTTCCAATGTCGCTATCCAGTTCTTGGCCTGACTGGACTGAAATGAGAAGCGAGATGAAGCCTTTTGGTAGACTCTCACCTGTTTCTCACAGTGAGTTTTCAGTGTTTGATGCATTATATTTTTACAGAATTAGATTTTACCAATGACATTTATGCCTGCTTTCAGTGTTACGTGCATAGCAACTATCTTTTCAACATGCCATCTCTTGACATGCTATGTAACCTGGCCTACATTAAAAAAATGTAAGCACAACTGACTTCCTTACGGTTGAACTCTGAAAACTTTTAGTCATGAAAGATGGAAGTTGCTATTGAGAGCGGATCGACTACACTAAAATGATTTGAATTATCCCGCAAATCAGGAATCATGCAAAGTCCACAGTCTTCATTCATTTGAGGGCGGTAGTTGTCATTTATTTGTCATTTGTTTCGCCAATAGCCAGAAAAATTTTCATTTTCACAGTTAAACGGTCTTTCGGTCGTTTACATGGTATGTTAAAAGATGATCGAAAGATGTTGCCTATGCATGTAACACTGAAAGCGGGTGTAAGTGATTTTCAATTTGAGAAATGTGCCAGGAATTGAAATTATTAAAAGCTCATATTTCAGTTTCCTGGTAGATTTGCTGGTACTTAAGACTGAATAAAAGTACATGGGAAAACTATACATTTTGTTTTGAAAACTGACTCCAACCTTCCCTTTGCTGATACAATGTAACTGCAACGAGTGACAAGTTATCATCTTATTTTCCTCAGCTACGCCCATAGACATGGACACATCTACTGAACAAGTGGACGGTGAATCAAAGAAAAGTGGTATGTTTGTTATTGTGCAGTACCAGAAAATACCCATACTCCCCTGACAGAAGGGATAGGAATTTCCTGGGGTGGGGGTTCTCTAAGACCAAAAAATTTAAAGAAATGTATCAAGTTTAATTGGAATTTCCAGCAGGGTGGGGGGGGGGGGGG